CCCAGGTGTCCCCTACCATATGCAGACCATGAGGGGGAAAAGAAAGCCGGCTGGAAAATAGAAGTAGGATGGAAAAAGCCGTCGGATTCTGTGGTTTCCTGCTTCTAGGTAAAACCTCCTCCAAGATGATTTCTACTGGTTCCATAAACATATTGGCATAGTCAGCGGTGGGATTCAAAACCGTTAGCAACCGTTTCTCTGCCCGCTTGCTGGGTGGGCGTGACCATGGTGGGCGGGGCCTACTCAGTCTCCTGCACCACCACGGGGTGTGCGTGTGTGTGTTTCACCTTCTCCAGGCACCGGAAGCTTTCCCTGGGTCTCCTGGAGGGCAAAAATGGGGCTCCAGAGGCCCTCCAGAAGCCAGAAACTGGACCACTCCCAGACTTCCGGAAGGCCCATTTTTCATCCTCCAGCAGCTCGGGAGGCTTTCCCTAGACTCCAGGAGGGTGAAAACGGCCTCCCCCGGGCTCTGGAGGCCAGAAAAGGGCCCATTTCTGGACTTCCAGGAGGCTGTTTTTCACCCTCCCAGAGCCTCCATGTGGACTCTGCACTTACCTGGCATGATGAACCGCATGGAGACACGGGGAGGGGGGGGGGGGGGGGCAGCTGGTCCTTGCAACAATTGGTTTGATGAACCGAATTCAAAATTAACATTAAGTTCGCCTGAATCCCACCCCTGCACCTAGTTTTCTTAGCATCAATACAGATTCCTGCATTGCCCCTGTCAGTTTCGTGTGTGTGTGTGTGTGTACATACCCATACACACACACACAGACACACACACAGAGTCAATGGAGGAACCAGATTCACTTAACAGTGTTATTGATTTAATAGCTACATTGATTCCATTAAGAAACTTAAATTTTGGGCTCAATTGTGGTCTTAAGTCGAGGACTCTCTGCATTCCCATTCCATCTCATGTTTCGAAGGAGCCACTTTTATGCAGTCATTAAGGCAGCTGGAAAAGACCGAGAGTTCGAGTCCTCCTCAGGGGACAAATGGGCCAGCCACTCTCTCTCAGCCCTAGGAAAGAGGCAATGGTAAAAAACCACTTCTGGAAACCTTGAAGCCGATGAAGCTACAGGGATTTGTCTGAGCATCACCTGGGGTCAAGACTGACTGGAACATGGGTCCCCAATGGCCAAACTGTCCTGCACAAGCAACGAGTGAGCGCACATGTGGAACGCTCCATTTCTGTGAGTGCCATTTATGTGCACCTGCCACTTATGTGCCTGCTGCATGTGCAATGGAGAGGCGTGCATGTGCATTCTCACCTTCTGCTTGCACAGAACCATCCCCTGTCCCCCCCTCCCTCCCCTGCCGTCGGTTCACAAAGCTGAAAAGTTGGGGACCACTGCACTAGAAAGAATTTTAAAAAATTGTGAAGCTCCAAATGGCCACTAGATGGCAGCAAAGGTTATGCTTGTCTGTACCTCGCTTCTGCCATATAATGGTTCTCTCCAGGTTTTCAAGCAGCCCCTTTCATCTATAATGGGTAACTCATGAGTAACAACCACCTAAAACAGTAGGAAGATCCCAAGATCCTCTCTGAGGGCATGCAGGTCAGCTTTGGATGGAACTCGGAATCCTCTGCTTTAAATATTTCCAATTGTACAAGTTTCTAATTGTCGTTAATTATATCAGGGTAATTTGTTCACTGGTTTTTTTTGTTTAACTTGCTGTTTTAATTTAATTACTTGAGGGGTTTTTTTTAGTTCTTAAATGCCTTAATTTGTTTCTGCTGGTTAGGCACAGCTTCATTCCGTTGTGAATCAAAACCATCCCACTTTTCAAACCCCAAACCCTGAAATTGAGGTGGCCGAGGTGGCGCAGTGGTTAAATGCAGCACTGCAGGCCACTTCAGCTGACTGCAGTTCTGCAGTTCGGCTGTTCTAATCCCACCGGCTCAGGGTTGACTCAGCCTTCCATCCTTCCGAGGTGGGTAAAATGAGGACCC